GTCCCTGGTTCCTGCGCTAACGGTTTGACGGTATCAAAACCAAACGCTTCCACTAGCTCCAACCTGCTGGTTCTGATCTGGGACAGACCCACGGCGGGATTCCCATCTCGGCCCGTCACTAGGGCCATCACCAGAGAGCCTTGGCGGCCCACTCAGTCCTGGCATCTCTGCCAGCCAGGCCCCAGGACCTGCCCTGATGCCCTGGTGGCTTGGAACTGGCCTGAGGCACCCCGCTCCCCCATTCCTTGCTGCTGAGTGGCCATCAGATGCGAACCACTCTCAGGGACCAGGGCTGCCTCCTACCTCATGTCTCAGCCTGCGGCCGGGCAAGTCCCCTCCACCATAGCTGGGCATGGGGCCATGTGGGCTGAGGGTTATTGCAGGGCAGGAGCAGTGTGAGATGGGGTAGGGGCAGCTCAGGGCACAGCATGTGGGCAGATGGGGCGGTGGGGGGAGCTAGGGTCTGCTCTTATTGGCCAGGCCTTTGCATGGTCACCCCAAGGGCCTTGCCACCATTGCCAGCAATCTCAGCTTGTCCTTTTCCAGGCTGTAGCTTGGGGGAGCCGGAGCTGTTTGGGGGAAGGGAGTGAAAACACTTATTACACTGAGCAGCCATGGGGTGGCACTGGGGGGGCAGCTGGGGCAGGGGTTCGGAGCAGGATGTTGGCAAGGCTGGTGCTGCGCTCGGCCCTGCGGGGGGCTCGGAGCTGGACTCGGGCGGGGCCCATGCTGCACTCAGCCCAGTGCCTAGGGGGGCTCGGAGCCGCACTTGGGAGAGGCCCGCGCTGTGTTCAGCCTCGCGGGGGGCTCTGGGGGGTTGGCGGGGCTAGGAGCTGAACTCAGGCGGGGCCTGTGCTGTGTTTGGCCCCCGGGGGGCTCTGGGGGGTCAGGGGAGCTCGGAGCTGGACTCGGGCGGGGCCCATGCTGCGCTCAGCCCAGTGCCACGTGGCACACACTGTGGAATGCGTTTGGATTAGGCCGGACAGACACACTTCAGCACTGGGTTTGTTTATGTTACTCCGTTTCCCCCTCACGCCAACTCAAAGGCAAATAAAGAAATGCAGCCTCCCCAGGTTCTGAGACCCCCCCCCAGCACGCGAGCCTCTCCCGGCACTCTGGGCCGACCCACCAGGCCCACGCCAGCTCCCTCTGCAAAGGGCAAAGTCCGGAGAAGAACCAGCCTTCTGCCCATGCGGGGGAGTCAGCAAAGGCTGGTGCCCCCAGAGAAGGGGAGAAGGGGGGGGGGAGAGATAGCTCAGTGGTTTGAGCATTGGCCTGTTAAACCCACGGTTGTGAGTTCAATCCTTGAGGGGGCCATTTAGGGATCTGGGGCAAAAATTGGGGATTGATCCTGCTTTGAGCAGGGGGTTGGACTAGATGACCTCCTGTGGTCCCTTCCAACCCTGATATTCTATGATTCTATAAAAACAAAGCCAATGTAGCCACAGGCCAGGCCCTCCAACGGATCCAGCGCTAACTCTGCTGTGCCCTGCGGATGCTCCCCTAGGCCCAGATACTCCTCACAGGGGAGGCCCCCAACTCCCTGGGACCCTCACGTCCCTGCCGGGGGACAGCCTGGAGAAAAGCCTTACAGATCTCCCCAGCCAATCGGACGCTTGAATGCCCCAAAGCCCACGTGAAGGGATACCCTGGTGACACAAACCCCCCAGCTCGGGTCACTAGTGGGGACCAAACCAGCCCCTTAGGGCACCATGCTCCCTAATAAGCTAGCAGAGTAACTCCCGCAGCTAGCAGCAGTAGTAGGCGCTTATCCTTCACATGGGCCAGCCCCAGAGAGGCTCACTACAGACAACCAGAATATAGCAACAGCATAAATCAAGGCCGGAGCCACATGGGGGTTTAGAGCTTGTGCCCAAGATGCAGCCACTGAGCATTTACCAGCAACAAGGTAGAATGCCAGCCCCCGAAGTCAGGGTGTGCAGACTGGTGCTGAACATGGCAGGCCCCTGGGCTGGCGCTGACAGTGGCAGGGCCCCCGGGCAGGTGCTGGATTTGGCAGGGCTGGATGTGGCAGGTGCTGGATGTGGCAGGGCCCCCGGGTGGGCGCTGAACATGGTAGGGCCCCTGGGTGGGCTCCCTGTGGCATGAGGAAGACTGCAGGCTCCCATGCATTTAATATTAGAAGCCGGCAATGGCCTGTGGGGTGGGCATTGCAGGCAGTGGCGGTGGATTAGCCACTGGGCCAACAGGGCCCATGCCCAGGGGTCCCAGCCGATTGAGGGCCCTGGAAAAATTGGGTCTGGCACACGAGGGTTTATGGCTATATCCAAATCTCTGGCGTAAATGTGCATGTCCACAGCATCCACATGGAGCCCTTCCGTGAACCGTGCTACTTTGGCCTCAATGAGTCCCAGTGGCAGGCAGTCCCGCAGGTTAATGTGTTGTGTAAATCTGTGCTTTACTGGCATTAATTCATCTGGGAGCCCAAGAGTTTCCGCTGGTTAAAAACAGTTCTCTAAAGAGAGCTCAGCAGGCCTGTAGCGAACCGCAGGCGGAGAGCAGTGGGAGAAGTTCTCGGAGCATGCGGCCGGCTGGATTTCCGTGCAGCCAACTGAAGGGGGAAGTGGTCTGGGTGCCCTCAGCTATGGCAAACCCAGCTTGAGCCATGCATTGGGCAGAGTGTGGGCTAGTGCCCCAGTGCATGCTGGGAAATCACCAGTCACCCGCACCAAACCCTGCAGAGAAGGGCCCCTTCCGGCTGCAATGCCCCTTTGGCCAAGGGCTGCTGTGCCACATGGATGAGCTCCAAGTGCCACCTCCCTCTAGGCTCTGTTCTAAGAGCCATGGCCCGTGGGGCAATAAAATGGGGGCAGACGAGTGGGGGCAGGATGGGGGTGCTCAGCTCCACAAGGGAAAGGGAGGTGGGGGGCGGGGCAGGATTGGGGATGCTCAGTTCCAAAAGGGAAGGGGAAGCGGTGGGGTGGGGTAGGGGGTGCTCAGCTCCACAAGGGAAGGGGAAGTGGAGGGCGGGGCAGGATGGGGGATGCTCAGCTCCACAAGGGAAGGGGAAGTGGGGGGCGTGGTGGAGGGTGCTCAGCTCCACAAGGGAAGAGAAAGTGAGGGCGTGCTCAGTCTACAGGGGAAGGTGAAGTGGGGGGGAACAGGGGGTGCTTAGCTCCACAAGGGAAGGGGAATCATAGAATATCAGAGTTGGAAGGGACCTCAGGAGGTCATCTAGTCCAACCCACTGCTCAAAGCAGGACCAATCCCCAATTTTTGCCCCCGATCCCTAAATGGCCCCCTCAAGGATTGAACTCACAACCCTGGGTTTAGCAGGCCAATGGTCAAACCACTGAGCTATAAGTGGGGGGGTGGGGTGGAGGGTGCTCAGCTCCACAAGGGAAGGGAAAGTCGGGAGGAGGGGTGCTCAGTCTACAGGGGAAGGGAAAGTGGGGGGCAGGGAGTGCTCAGCTCCACAAGGGAAGGGAAGTAGGGGGCAGGGTGGGAGGGTGCTCAGCTCCCTGTCAGGGATCTCTCACATCCCTTGGGGGAGTTCCCAGGGACACCAGCGCTTCGCCCTTCTCCCCCATGGGTCTCTGACTGGTTCTTACAGCTCTTGTCGGACCTTCCTGTGAGTGCTGGCGGCCTAATGGTTAGAGCTTAGGCCTGGGAGCCAGCTCTGGGCACCATTCCCCTGCTGCTGAGTGGGTTATTTCACTGGCACTTCTCCCATGCTTTGAGCCCTGGCATGAGTGGCAGAGTGCCCACTGTGTCTCGCCCCTGGGAGCCAGCTGGGTAGCTGGGCCTGAGACGGAAGAGACTCGCCTGGGGTCGGTCAGTGGGGTAAAGAACCCAGGAGTCCTGACTGCCTCTCTCTAAGAGAATAGAACCCCGGCATCCTGGGTGCCAATCCCTGCTTCTAACCATCCAACAGCCGCCCTGGAACTTGTACTCACACCAGTTGGGCTCGCAGGCTGCGCTGCCCCCTGCTGGCGCTAACCACCAAGGTGTGTGAATGGCAGCTGCTGGCGGAGGGCACTGGAGCTGCCCCGCCCAGCCACTCATTGCCTGGGGCTTGCCAGCGGGTGGCACTGCTGAGGTCCATGGGCGCTGTGGTGTCTGGCACCCATGTGGCTGGGGCTCGTTGGCAGGGGGTGGGGATGGAGAAATGGGGTCTCTCTTCCCCTGAGGGGAAGCCTGGCTCTGAGCACCGGGGTTGCTGGTTCCCACGTGGGGGTGTCTGCACCTTGGAGCCTCTTGCCAATTGCAGATGCTCCTGGGGGAGCCTGGCCCGTCAGCTCTCGGGACGTGGCAGCTCCTGAACCCTGGCCTAAGGGGGTACAAGACCTGCTGACAGCAATTGGGGGGCAGCTGGCACCCCCTGGCAACCCCACAACTCCATGACAGGGCTTCAAATAACTCCCAACCCTGCTGCCCCCTCCCATGCAGCCCCATGGCTGGGGAGGGGGCCAGTAAGGGGCTCTGCAGGAGGGGAGCCTTGCCCCGCAGCAGACAGAATCCGCCCCCTCCGGGGCAGAGCCCTGAGCAATCGCCTGCAGGCTCTGTAATGGGCCAGTCTAACGTGGGGGCTCGGCACTCGGCTAAGGGCTGGCTGGGCCACATCTCACCTTCCCCCGGCGTGGGGTGTGGAGGGAGGGCTGGGGCTTTGGCTCGTTGCCAGGCCCTTGTGTGATTGCTGGGGCAGGCCAGACCTTAGGGTAACCCCGTGTGGGGACCCTGCCAGAGCAGGCCCACAGCCAGGAGTCAGGCAGAGCCACGGGGTGTCCGCAGGCAGCTGCTTCAGCGCTGAACCCCTTCGTAGCCAGCCCAGCCCTGCCCTGCCCCCTGCCAGGGCCCCTTGCAAGCACCAGCCCCCTGAGCCCCCCGGCTCCCCCTTCTGGCAGGGACCATGCAGGCCCCCAATCCAACACAGTGCACTTGCCCTGGTGCTCTCGGGAGCCCTGTGTGTTCAGCTGTGATTGACGCCTCCACCCCAACCTCAGCTGCTGTGTTCAATCTCCTCTCTCCAAAGCCCGCAGCCCTGCAGCTCATGCCAGCACCCAGGAAGAAGGAAGTTACCTCACCGGCTTTGGCAACTCAGGGCTTTTCTCTCTTGCTGCCGGGGCGTGAAGCCCATAAATAGCTGGCGGACGAGGCTGTGCCGGCAGATCGCTCCAAGCACAGCTGGACACATCTGCCCCTCGGCTTGGTAAGGTTTTGACCCTCCCGGATGGTCTGCGCCTAGCCGTGGGGGGCTGGGCTCACCATAGTGCAGGCCCTGTGCCTCCGGGTGGTCCAGCAGGGGGCGGTGTGCAGCCAGCATTGGCGCTGATCAGATCTGTGCAGGGGCTGGGTCATGGACCGGCTCTGGCTGATGGTGCTGGGAGCCCTGCGGGGGGAACTCTTGCAGCGAGAGCGGGCACCGTGCCTGGGGCGAGGGAGGGTGGCGAGGGTTTGATGGCAGGCTATGGGGTGGCTAGGAAACAGGGTCCGTGGGAGGGAGAGGGGCTGGCTGGTCTCCTAGGCCTTTTGCCTGATTGCCAGAGTCCTCCGCTCCTTGCGGCTCATCGGGTTTGGGGAAGGGGCAGCACTCAGGGTGCCCAGGGCCCATGACGTCCCCAGTGCGGTGACTCATGGGCTAAGGGGGCTACTGAGGGAGGAGATGGGAATCTGGCCTTTCGCACCCAGATGGGAGCTGGTGTGGGGGGAGCAGGCCCCAGTCCTGGCTGCCAAGCAGGCTAGTTGAGCTGGGGTGTGAGCTGAGCCTGCTCCGGAGAGCCAGCTGGGCTTCTCCGTACGATGCTTGGTCCATTTCGCACGCGGCTCTGGGCTCAGTGGGGCTGTTCCTACGGAGCGAGGAGCCTTGTTACCAGTCCCTGCTGCTCACTGAATCCTTCTCGGGGCCATGCCCCCCCCACCACCACAGAGCCAGGGCTTTGCTCTCTGGACTCGAGCCAGCGGGCCCCGGTGGGACGAACGGGCCGGGTCTCGGGGTGGCTGCAGAGCAAAGGCCAGAGCGAGATCTGGAGTAGGCTGCACTACAGCTGGGGTCTCCTACACTGTGCCAGTCCTCTGCGTCAGCTAGGAGACAGAATCCCCCCAGGCCGGGGAGCATGTCTCCTCCCCAGAGGGTCACAGAACCTGCCCCCTTCCCTGTGTCTATTCAGACTGAGCTCTGGGGGCAGGGACTGTCTCAGGCTGCGTCTGTGCAGCGCCCGGCGAGGTGAGCTCGGGGCGGGGGGGTCGTGTAATGATGCCCTCCGGGGAAAGGGGTGCAGATTCCTGTGCATTCACTGGAGCGTGTGAGCAGGGCGCTTGGGTCCAGGCTGATGGGGCTCCCCCCAGGTAGCCTGACACCCCGGCATGCCCAGGGATGCGGAGCCAGGTGGGGCCTCACCTGCTCTGCAGACATCTGAGACATCGGTTTCCGTGGAAACGCCCCAATTAGACCCAGGATGGAAAGAATGGGGCCGTGTTTGATCTCCCTGCGGGGAGGCTGCCAGGGGCCTGCGCTCACTGGTGCATTATTCCAGGGTCCTGCCCAGGCCTGCCCGGGATCCAGCATCTGCTCCCTGCTCTCCCCCACCCGGGGCAGTGTGGGGCCCGGGGCTGTGGCTGGAGGGGAAATGGTGCATCACAACAGGGGCCTCTGTCACGGACTCACAGGACTCGTGCTCTCTTGGCTCCATACGGTCCCTGGGAGGAACCCCCTTCAGTGCGACAGCCCTGCTCAGGGGTCTACTCTTTCCCGGGGGTTAAGCCCCTCCGCCTCCTGGAACTGCACCTCTCTGAGCCTCAGCATGCCTGTCTCTGCTGTGGGCCCCCTCAGGGAGTCCCCTCGCTCTGGACCCCCGGGGCCTCCACTCACAGAGGGAATAATGCCACCCTGTTCTCTAGACCAGAGTGACTCTCGGCCAGCGTAACACAGGAGGGTTTATTGAGCGTCTGAACCCAGCACAGGAAACTCTCAGGCCTGGCCTCCCTCAGCACAGCACATCTAAGTCTGTCCCGCATGCAGGTGGGCTCTGGCTGCTCCCTCCTCCTGGCGCAGAGACCCCCTCCTTCCAGCCGAGGCATCCGATATCACCAGCCCCAACAGCTTCTCCCCGACCTTTGTCTTCCGTCCCAAGTAAATTAGTCGCTGGGGCCCTCTCTCTGGCTGGAACTGGTTGGTCAGGTCGCCGGGGTCTTCTCTTCTCAGCCCGTTGTCCTCCCACTGGTCAGAATCTGCTGACTGCCAAGCTGGGGTGGGCCTCTTAGTCACCAATTGTTAGGGTTCCCCATCTCCAGGCCATTGTTGGGGGGTCCCGGCTGCTACGTGAGGTCACACCTGGTCCTCTGCAACAACAAACCCTCTCCCACCACCTTGTTAAACATGCAGCACACAGGGAAACTGAGGCACAAACACGCTATTCATGTAAAACACTACAAAAATCCCCAACTTCATCACAGCCTCCCTGGCCAGGTGCTGAACAGACATGGAGTGAGAGAGACTTCCTGCCCCCCAGAGCTCACAATCTGAACAGACACAAGGGGGAGGGGAAACTGAGGCACAAAGCAGGAAAGTGACATGTCCATGGGCACTCAGCGGGTCAGTGGCAGAGCTGGAAATGGAGCTGGTCCCAAGTCCCAGCCCCATGGCCGCCCAATAGGATGTGCTGCCTCTTTAACTATACAGCCATGTCAGGGCGGTGGGGCCCTGGGGAGGGGTCTGGGTCCCAGCCATGGGGGAGGCCAATCCTGCTTATAGCAGCCAGGAAAGACCTCCATGTTTCTAGTGGCCCGATGCTTATGAGTCAGGATGGGCTCCATCCCCAGATACTTTAATAGGAGGATCTATGCCCCCTTTCTCTGCCCTCCCTGCCCCCGACTCCTCCGTCCTGCCTCTCCTCACCTCCACCCCAGCTCTGCCTCCCCTCCCCTTACCCAGCTCTCCCAGCCCTCTCTGCTTACAGCTCCCTTTGGGCTGGACCTGAGCTGAGCAGCTCACCCTCCCTAGACCCAAGGCTGCCAGGGCCCAGCCAGCTGGGGTGCAGGGGCAGGAGCCTTCTGGCTACCCTAACTCATGCCCTGGCCTGGGTTTTGCTGTGGCTGGCAAACAGAGCACAGGGATGTCCTGCCCTGCTGCCTCTTCCCAGCTGGCCCAGCCCAGTTGGTGCCCCCAGCCCTGGTGACCTGGGGCACAGCTATGCGATGTCCTTCCTGTCTGTGCCTCCCCAGATGGGGGAGACACTTTAAATGTGTGGCTGATTCTGGCTCAGCAGGGGCATTGCAGGGAGGGGCTCCTGGGGCAGGGGGCTGTGCTTTGCCTGACCCCCTTTTCTTTTACTTCAGTTCCTAGAAGCCAAGGATCTAGGCCAGGACTGTGCTCCAGGACCTGACCCCTCCCCGAGACCCGGTCCTCCCGCTCCCTGAGACGATGGCGAACATCACCATGGATAACTTCTCGTGCTATGAGGCATCCATCGTGGGGTACCGCTACGTGGCCGTGAGCTGGGGCGTGGTGGTCACCGTGGTGGGCACACTGGGCAACGTGCTGACCCTCCTGGCCTTTGCGGCCGACGCCAAGGTGCAGACCCGCTTTAACCTGCTCATCGTCAACCTGACGCTGGCCGACCTGCTGTACTGTGCCGTGCTGCAGCCCTTCTCCGTGGACTCCTACCTGCACCTGCACTGGCGGGCCGGCCCCAGCTTCTGCCGTGTCTTTGGTATGCTGCTCTTCGTCTCCAACTCAGTCTCCATCCTGACGCTCTGCCTCATCGCCGTCAGCCGCTACGTGCTCATTGCCAACCCAGCCCTCTTCAACCGGGTCTTCTCGCGCCTGGGCGTGGGGCTCGTGGCCCTGGGCGCCTGGGTCCTCGGCTTCGCCAGCTTCGCCCCGCTCTGGCCCGTCTTCGTGCTGGTGCCCAAGGTCTGCACCTGCAGCTTCCACCGCATCAGGGGCCGGCCCTACAGCACTATCCTGATGGCCTTCTACTTTGTGGTGGGCCTCAGCTGCGTGGGCATCTTCTACTTCCTCATCCACCGCAAGGTGAAGGGGGCGTCCCACGCCATGGACCGCTACAAGCTGAAGAAGGCCAGCCTGAAGGGGGCTTATGTCGCTGGGGCCAGCTTGGCCACTCCAGGCCAGTTTGTGGAGCTGGACAGCGGCGTGGACACGGGCGTCTCCCAGCCCTCCAGCATCTCGGAGCAGGGCCACACCTCCAAGACGCTGGTCACGGAAAATGGCCCAGCCCCAGCCCTCACCCCAGCCCCTGCCCCTGCCCCCGCCCCTGCCCCCGCCCCTGCCCCTGCTCCTGCCCCCGCAGCTCAAAAGCTCAAAAGCCTGCCCTCCCAGCCCAAGGACAGCAACAAGGAGTTCCGGAAGGTCACCCGCATGTGCTTCGTGGTCTTCCTCTTCTTTGTCCTCAGCTACATCCCCTTCCTCCTCCTCAACATCTTCGATGCCAAGAACCGGGCGCCCACATGGTTGCACATGGTGTCCGCCAACCTGACCTGGCTGAACAGCTGCATCAACCCCGTGCTGTACGCCGCCATGAACCGCCAGTTCCGCGAGGCCTACGCGCGTGTGATCTCCACCATCTCGCGCCGCCTCCGGTGCCTCTGAGGGCTGGGGTCGCAGGGGGGCAGGGCTGCCCCAGATCAGAAAGCTGCCTTGGCGCTGCTCTGCCCCCCTGGGGGACCCCATATCCTGTCTTGCCCCAGGGGAGAACATTGGACCCAAGCACAGACTCATGCCAGATGCAAGCTTTGCCCTGCCCCAGTGCCTCCTGCTGGTGGCAAGAGCACCGCCCTGTCTCTAGGAGGGTGGCAGGGGCAGGTTGGTGCTGAGCCCTGCCCCACATGGGCCGCCAGTTATGGGCTCTGCACTGCCTTTGCAGAGTGCTAGCGTGGACTGTCCCTTTACCCACCATCCTTGGCCTGGTGAGGTGGTGGAGGCTGGCTGGGCCCTGCCTTCCCAGCTCTATTTATTGTCTGTTCCTGATTTACACCTTGTCATTTTTCTATCACTACCTCAATAAGCAGATCCCTGTGTGTCTAGTATTGGCTGCATTGCCTGTTCCCAGCCAGTGAACAAGCCCTCCATTGGCTGTGGGGTGGGGAGGCCTGGGGCCGGGGCCAACCATAGGTCTGGGCTATGTGCGTATCCAAGCACCAAGTGTGGGGAGGGGATGGGAAGGGGAGGGGATATGTCATGAACACAGAGATAAGGATAACATAAAATCCCTCCTGGGAAGCTGTACTAAATTGCTTTACCTGTAAAGGGTTAAGAAGCTCAAATAACCTGCCTGGCACCTGACCAAAAGGACCAATAAGGAAAGAAGATACTTTCAAATCGGGGGTGGGGGGGGTTGTGCTCTCTTTTTTTGTTCTCTCTCTTAACGCAGAGAGAGAGACCAGGCAGGTAAAACATCTCCTGAAACATACCTGAAATGATTCATGTAAGATTACAAAAATTGTAAGCAAGGGCAAGGAAATACATTAAATTATCTTTTGTTTTAGCTTGTGAATTTTCCCTATGCTAAGAGGTAGTTTTATTCCTGTTTTTTAAAACTGTGAAGCTAAGTCCAGAGGGGAGTCCTCTGCGTTTTAAATCTTTTTATTTCCCTGTAAAGTTACCTTCCATCCTGATTTTGCCGAGGTTCTTTTACTTTTTTCTTTATAATAAAGTCCTTCTTGTAAGAGCCTGATTGATTTTAGTGTCCTAAAGATAAAAGGTCTGATCTGTACTTACATTAAAACCAATTGGTTGATATATTATTCTTAAGCCTCCCCAGGAAAGGGGATGAAGGAGCTTGGGGGGATATTTTGGGGGACTAGGGACTCCAAGTGACCCTTTCCTGAATTTTTGGGTAAATCACTTGGTGGTGGCAGCAATACTGTCCAAGGAGACGGAAAGGAAGTTGTGCCTTGGGGAAGTTTTCAACCTAAGCTGGTGGAATATAAGCTTAGGGGAGTCTTTCATGCAGGTCCCCACATCTGTACCCCAGAGTTCAGAGTGGGGAGGGAACCCTGACAGGATATTAATGGGGTCCTGGGTTTTTCTAGGTCCAACCCACCCCAAGGCAATACCAACAGCTCTGCCCTCAGCCTGGGGCCTCCAGCTGGCTATGTGCTGCCTAGAACTCCAAACTCTCTGAAGGGCTGGGGCGGGGGGAGGTGTGGACTGGCTTGCCTCTTCCCCGACCACAGTGCCTCGCTGTGGGGGATGGGCCCCGGGGCAGGGAGCCATGGCGAGCCTTTGCTTTGTGTGGGACTGTCAGCTCTAGACGGAGAGTAAATATGGAAGGGAATGGGACCCATGGCAGGGCTGGGCCACAGAGGGATGGGGGTTGGGGCTGTGTGTGTGTGGGGGGAACTGGGGCAGCGCGGGGGGGGAGGGAGGACTGCAGTTAGATCCTGTTCCGTTGCTGCCTCTTTATCCACAAAGAGGACTCCTGCCCTGATGATTAATGGGGAGAGGCTCCTGCCCCACTCACTGTGGGATAAGGTTGGCCCCTAGGTCCACCAGAGCAGAGCTGGGCCCCATGGCCAAGCACCCCCACCGCCCCAGGCTGACAGAGAGACATGGCCCTGATTTGCCAGTCCCCAGGCAGGCTGATGCAAGGGGTTGCAGGGCAGGTGGCAGCCCTGAGGAACAATGCCTGGCACAGGGCTGGGGTGTGTCAGTTGTGAGGTGGCCTCGGGAGCACAACGTCCATTCGGGCACAAACAGGCTGAAGCCAAAGGGATGGCACCTGGTTCTGAGCCAGCGGGAAGCTCAGCCCAGCCAGGGCCGTTCCCCTGGGGATCCTGCTGGGACCCCCATCACCTCCCTCTCCTTGCTGCCTCTCAGGACCCCCCTCCCAGCCCCCACCAAAGTTCTTTGCTAGTCCCACCTCCTTCCTCTCTAGTGCAGCTCAGGGGTCATCACCGGCTGGGGACTCACTCTGGGCCCATGCAGCCAGCAAACAGGGGCTGAGCCCGCTCTCTCCACTGCCTGCTGATGCCTGGGCCCCTGGCAAGAGATGGCAGTGCCTGCCTAGCCACCCCTAGGGCACGGGCCACAGACCTGTTTCCTCTGCACCAGCCACACACCCCCGTGCATCATTCTGCCAGTGCAGGGAACTGCGCCCCAGGCCTGGACCCCCCAACAGAGCCCCCAAGACCTGTAACCTGACCCCCACCAGAGCCTGCCCCCAGGCCTGGAACCCCCAGTCCCAGCCCACCCCCCACCCCCCGCCCGAGGCCTGACACTTGCCCCCACATACAGCCCCTGAAGTCTGGAACCACCTCCACAACCAGAGATGGCAGCTGCTGTGAGTCAGGTTCAGGGTCCGTTAGGGGCATGACACGGTATGCATGGGGCGGGGGGGCTGTTGAAGCAGCCGCAATGCCCCCTGGAGCTCCCCTCTGTGGGGCAGGGGCCCTGTTGCTGGGTGTCCCCTAATGCCTGGGGAGTGAGATTCACACACGCAACCTGGCAGAGCATCCCCAGCTCAGCCCACCCCCACTATCTGCATGAGCTGCCTGGCGCCCCCAGCCCCTATGAGCTTCCAGTCACCTCTAGCCCCCATCCCTCCCTCCGTGTGTTGCTCCAGCGTCCCTGCACCGTGCTGCATGGGTGGCCTGGACTTGCCCAAAGAGATTGCACAAGGCTCCGAGTTGCATCCACCCCTTTGTTCTCTGCTGACAGGGTGGGGAGAGGCCCCCAGGCTTGCATATTGCACAGGGCAGGGAGAGGAGGGGAATGAGATTCTTGCGTTCCAAGTTTACTAACAGGCTGTGATGAAATGGGGGATTTTCTTGGTTTTTTTCAATGGTTTGCATGCAGAGGGGGTGGGACTCAGTTTCCCTGGGTGTTACTGGTTTAACAAGGTGATGGGAGAGGGAGTTTGTTGTTACAGAGGGCCAGCGAATGGCCTGGAGAATGGATACCCCAGCGACTGGTGACCCAGTGACCGGGAGGCCCAGCTTGGGAGTCACAGCTGGGTTCTGGCCAGTGGGAGGACAATGGGCTGCGGAGAGAGGACCCTGGTGACCTGACCAGCCAGTTCCAGCCAGTGGGGAACAAAAGACAGCTGAGAGGAGAGGAGGCCAGGCCATCCTGTTTACCTGGAGAGAAGACAAAGGACAGAGGCGGAGCTTGGGGGCAGGTGATATCGATGCCCAGCTGGAAAGCGAGGGATCTCCGGGCTGGGAGGAGGGAGCCCGCCAGAGCCCACCTGCATGCGGGACAGACCTAGATGTGCTGTGCTGAGGGAGGCCAGGCCTGAGAGTTTCCTGTGCTGGGTTCAGACGCTCAATAAACCCTCCTGTTTTATGCTGGCTGAGAGTCGTGCTGGTCTAGAGAACAGGGTTGCATTATTCCCTCTGGGAGTGGAGGCCCCTGGGGTCCAGAGAGAGTGGGGCCCATGGTGAGAGACAGGCCTGCTAAGGCTCAGAGAGGTACAGTTCCAGGAGGCGAAGGGGCTTAATCCCCGTGAGAGTGTGGACCCCCGAGAAGAGCTGTCCCACTGAAGGGGGTTCCCCCCAGGGACCGCATGGGGCCAAGAGTGGGCATGACCTGTGAGTCCATGACAACGTGGTAGCAGAGGATGGTTGGCGGATGCACCCTGTAGACGGCTGGCTGTGAGCGCAGGCACTTTGCAGGGAGTGGCTGCCAGTGATAAAACGAGGGAATTGAATGAACCAGCGCAGGAATGGCCTATACCCCGCTCCGTAAGAGGGACCTGGCACGTCTGTGCGGGGAGAGAGGGCTGAGCATGGGGAGGGTCTCTCAGGAGCAGCTGATGGCTCAGCTTGTAGAGAATGACCAGTCTGAGGAACAGGCTCCAGATCCCAGGGGGGCTCCCAGGGTGCCCAGAGAGCCGGGGAGTAGTCGTGGGGGCAGTCCATGTAGCAGCCGGGAGTCTACTGGACCTGACTCCCCAGTCAGCCCAGGGGGACCCTTTGAGAAGGCTTGTGATCTGAACCAGATTGACCCAGCAGACAGGCTCCACTCTCTGACCCTCCTGCTGGGTCCCCAGGCCATAAAGCCGAGGGGGGACTATGACCTGTTCAAACAGGCTTTGCTGTTGAAGTGTGAACTGACCCTCGAGGCATACAGGAAACGATTCCGGGGTGTACGCAAGACCCCAAGGGTCACCTACAAGGAGGTCACCAATCTGCTGGGGGAATATCTCCGCAAGTGGGGGAAGGGCACAGGGGCCACTACCGCAGAGGAGGTGTGTAACCTGGTAGGGTTGGGGCAGCTGTATGACATCTGCCCTCCAGACCTTAAGATCTGGTTAGTGGACCAGAAGCCTAAAGATCTGCGCAGTGCGGGGGCACTGGAGGATGAGTTTGTGGACAGCAGATCGGGGGATCCCCCACATTGGGGACTCAGAAGGGGAGTCACACAGAGATGTCTCAAGGGTGGGACTCCAGGAAGCCCAACTCAGGGGTGCCCATGAAGGCCGGGTGGGCTTACCCCTGTCGTGGGACTTGAGGGACCTGAAATGTAATTACTATGGCCAAAAAGAACACAAGGTGACGCAATGCCTGAAGAAGAAGGAAATGGCAGGCAATCAGAACCCATGGGGTGTCAACTGGGTGGAAGCCCACCGAGAGGGGGCACCACCAGTCCAGGGGGCCGCAATGAATAGGGTTATGCCATGGGGAGGGGACAGCCAGGCTAGGACAGCAAGGGAAGGCAGGGCTCCAGGTCCAGAGCGCCCATACTCAATCCACTGGGTGAGGGTGGGACAGGCCCCGGGGAACAATTGCCACGTCATCCCCATTGAGGTCAGGGGAGGGAGCGTCCTGGGTTCTGGGACATGGGCACAGAGGTGACACTGGCATGGCCCCAGGTGATGGACCCAGACCAGTGAGCACCCGATGCATATGTGACCCTGAGAGGAGTGTTTGGGCCCCCCGCAAGGTGCCTGTAGTGAGGATACACCTGAAATCAGGGGCTAAGGAGGGACCCAAAGAGGTTGTGGTGCACAATCACCTGCCTACCGAGGTGCTAATGGGTCCTGACTTGGAGGCCTGGCCAGATGGCACTCACAGCTCCCTGGTCCTTACCTGGTTCCAGTGCCAGCGAGGGACGTGGGATCGAAACACTGAAGGTAGGGCTTGACAGGGCTGGGCTGGAGCCTCTGTCCCA